TCACTCTTGCCAACAAGTGCTACTTTGGACTGAGTAGGCAATTCAGGAGTAAAGTCCTCTCTCGACGTACGAAAACCACGCTCTATAAGTCACTCATCATGCCCGTGCTGGTATATGGCGCAGAAGCATGGACAATGACAACATCCGATGAGGCGGCTCTTGGGGTGTTTGAGAGAAAGATTTTGCGGAAGATTTACGGTCCTTTACGCGTTGGCGACGGCGAGTACCGCAGACGATGGAACGATGAGCTGTATGAGCTTTACAACGATATGGACATAGTGCAGCGAATTAAAATACAGCGGCTCCGCTGGCTTGGCCATGTCGTTCGAATGGACACCGACGCTCCAGCTCTGAAAGTATTCAACTCGGAACCCGCTGGTGGTAGCAGAGGAAGAGGGAGGCCCCCACTGTGATGGAAAGATCAAGTGGAGAAGGACTTGGCTTCACTTGGCGTTTCCAATTGGCGTCAGTTGGCACAGAGGAGAAACGACTGGCGTGCTTTGCTGAACTCGGCCAAAATCGCTTAGGCGATTACAGCGCCAAAAAAGAAGAAGAGAAGATTTTTTTTCTGTAGAATACGTATTCATTTTTTTGACGATTTAAAAAAAAAGGGAGGACAGTCGGGTCTACGTTACCAGAACGACGTGAATGCGCATCGAAGTCGGTTGTATTTTTTTGCATAAAATTACTTGTTATTATTGAGATACAGTTTCGCTAGTGTTTACAGATTTCTCGACATACTTGTTCATATTTCTGTTATTTATTATTTTTCTTCTTAGTCATTTATATGTTTAGGACTTAAGGCTCTGTTATGCATACTTGGCATTGCATGCACTGCTATACCATTTTTACGTAGAAATCAAAAAACAACAGACTTTTACGTATGTAATGCTGTGCGTTGGGTAACCGCTTACACGCGAAGCTCATTTAACAGATTCCTTATGTGACAACTCTCAAGCAATGCCAAGTATGCATAACGGAGCCTTTACTGTGGGTGCTTTAAGATTCATTTTGTAAATATGTATGTACATATAAAAAACAATTGCGTTATTTTATTTTATTTTAAATTATGCATTTTATTCGTGCAATTTTTTATGTTTAATAGTTTTGAGAACATTTTTTTGGTTCTGTTGTATTCTTTTATTGCATGCATTAAACTTTCTTAATTTAAGTTATAATATTGAAGATATGCCTTCTGCCTTTGTCAAGCACTTTAGCTAGGTTCGAGAAGTTTAGCATATGCGCGTAAAAGTATAGAGTAGGTATACGGCTGTGTTGCCGCGATTCTCCAACATCTTGTCAAAGGAGAATACATATTGGTGGCAATCACGGAATCCATCGTAGTCCGATTTTTCATAAAATCTACGAAAAGGCGATCACTGAATAGGAACTGTTATAAACGTGTGTATTCAAAGCATACGCTGCGTTCGTAGCTACTCGAATTCAATAGCATTTTCGTAGATTTCACGTAAAATCGGACTACGATGGAATCTGTGATAGCCTTGATTAGTTCGTGCGAGTATGACGTATGGATCGATTATGGATGGCAACGGAATCTCAGTTGGGCTGCCGATGGACAGCGCCACTGAAATGAAAATGTATTATATTATGAATAGCAATAATTAAGTTTCATAAAGTTCAAAATGATACAAATTAAAAAAAGTTGAAAAAAGAAATAAAGTATCTCAATCAAAATTTCCCGGCAGCCTCAAAAATGCAGTTGCCAATATAGCGCAACTCAGTTTCTAGCTTTCAGTTGCTAGTTGCCATCTGTAATACCATTTCAGCTACTGGCCAACCAACTGAAGTTCGGTTGTCCTCCGTAATCGACCCATAAAATCGGAATTGAATATGCATGCACGTTCTGCAGAACGATAAATATTTTGTATATATATATTTAACGATTGTCAAAGGCATGCCAGAAGATGTTTCATCATAGGTTTGGGGCCATCATCTTCATCGAGTAGGTTCTTCGATTCCAAAAACTTTACAACCTCTATATGCCAGCAACCCTTAGTGTTTTTGCCAATGACATGGCACTATTGCACTGTTAATAACCAAATTTAGCCGCAGTTGCATTCAGACGTGATATAATAGCTGGTGTCGGCAAGCTGTGGGAATGCCCAGAAGATGGCGTTTGTTCAGCTATCGAAATCATTGCACCGACGGCGGTTGGCAGTACTGCTGGTACATATTTACCACAGCAGTGGTTGGGGCATTTTGTTCTGCAACAATAGCCTGCAATGATGACATGTCCTATAATGTCGACGAGCAAAGATATAAAATTGAAAATGACTAACCTTATTCCCGGCTGATTTGGAAGACCACCCTTGGTCACGACCAGAACGCATTTACCAAAAGGAAAAACCGCAGGGATTGCAGTAGTTCTTATAATCACCGTTGATGATGCTGTGCTTGTTATTAATAGTCTGAAAAGACAGAAATTTGCATTAATCAAATGTTAAACACATCAAAAAAATAAATTTTAATAATTTGTTTACCATTTCACAAACCGAATTACCAAGAAATATAAACTCACCGCGATGCGATACAGAAATAAAAACCAACAGGACTGCATTTTCTTGGTAAACAACACAAGCGCTCAGAGAAATCTGATCCGCAATATTATTTTGTAAAAATAAGAGCTGAAAAGAGTTTCCAAACATGATTATCGCATTATCTAATTAGCGCACATTGTTGTGTTTATTTTTAGTAGAATATAATTGTATTATCTAAGACTTTTTTCAATGTTTCCTAATATTCATTCTTTTGGCATGCAAAAACAACCATGTGCTCAATTTCTTGTGGGGAAATTTGGTCCCCATAAAGGACTTTCACCACGAAACAGCTACATAAACAAAAACCTTTTCTACTGGTATACACAGAGAAAATGATACAGGTAAAACGCAAGTTTTTAAAAGAAATTGCAAAATAAAATTTTTTGATATAATTTTACTTCATACAAAATAAAAAATATAGTATTTGTACTTACGACTTTAAAACGAAACATTCGCAAAACAAAAACGATCGTTATAATATATTCACTTTTTTTTACTGAGGAGAACAAACGAAACAAATAGCGTCAAAAAAGCGTATTTTAAAAACTAAAATGAAACATTTTACAATATTGTCCCAACAAGTTGTAGTGCGATACAATTTTCAACAACCAAAATAAAACTAGACATTTTTAAAACAAAAACGTTCATTTATTTTCAGTCAATTAGGTATGAAAAATATTTAAACCTAAAATGTTTTGCATTAAAATTTAAAAGCTACTTAGCTATAATGAAAAACTTTCTTATGTATGAATCATTTTTCGGAAAAATTGTGTTCAGATAAATAAGTTACTTCAATCTCCAGAAAAGGCGATGAAGTGTATACAAACAATACTGCCATTCTATCCACTAACTGCATACATATAAGGGACATTGGTGGAATTCTTTGACCTAAAAAAGCTTTGGTAAGAGTAACTTATAAAAACAAAATCCTATGGGTTATTGAATATTCATTTAAAACTTTCTTAATTTAAATTACAGGATTTGATAAGCGTGAAGCAAAATTAGCAGGCCCAGCTTGGAAGTAAAGCAGGAACATCTGTATGTATGTATTAATGTATGTATATAGTAAAGCTCTAGATATCCGGGTATCGAGCAATGCGAGTAGCTCTGTGTACTGTGGTTTTGCCATCGCCGCGAGTTGTTTTGGTGTGCGCATAGTTATTTAAAAATATAAAGTTTGATGCCAACCGGGGTTTCTCAGTGGATATATAATTCATGAGAATTATAGTTTGAAAGTATCTATTTAGCCAGATATTGACCTGGGTTTTCGCACGACTGTTCCTGTTTCATCGTTTCTTTTTAGGAAATTTTTACGACCATATACATATGTATTATTTACACTAGTAACTATTTATGTAAATGTGTATGTATTTTTTATGCTTAATATATGCAAATAAAAGAAGAAAACAACCATCGAGTAAATTTTTATTTGTGTCAAACTGAAACTTTTTTTTTCCAATAATAAACGGTTAGCTGATTCAAGTCTACAGCAAGTTCACAAAATTAATTGAAAACTTGTATCAACCAAAGCATTGTTTATATTTGCTCAACAATGATTTTATTCAGCTAAAAATATTGTCCACTCAAGGTAGTCGTTTTGCAATTATTACCAAATAAACATTTGTCCCAACTAGAAGTCTCAAGTAAATTGCATACTTTCGTGAACTAGATATTTATTTCGCCATATCCAACTATGCCACTTGGTCACTATAACCAAATCTTGGTAATTATAACTAAACCTTTTTCTGAGTGTATGTAAGTATCGAATATTATTTGTCAAAGGTCTGTTGAAAAAAACTGCGTGCATCGCTAGTACTTTTTTCTATTTTTTCTTATATAAGTGTAATTATTTATTTTTTCTCATAAAGCTTTTTATGATTAAGTTCCGTGATTCCTTTTATTAGTCTTTCAGCTCGAAAACAGCCACTCACATCCTCGCTCAATTACAAAATGCCGTAACTAACTAAAAATCCAAAATTCACTTTTTGATTGATTATAATGCATTTCATCGAATCACAGTCCCCACATCGTTTAATGCAATACAAAATTTAGTTTAATTTAGTTAGTTGTGGCTTTTTTTGCATTTCAGCGACAATGTGAAATACGACCTTTCCATACTATTTAACGATATGTTGAAAATTCTCGTTCATTAGCCTCAAAATATCAAAGCACATTGAGCGCATGGAGTGGAACAATAAAACGGATTTGATGGCTTATGGTACCAACAGCGGTGAGTAATTAATTGTGACTGCCTGCAACTAGGAAAAGTCGAGCTCAGCTAATAAAAACACTAATTACAAGTTATTCATTACAGGTGAACCTTTCCAATAAGTCACTCGGGAACTAAGCAGATCTGAGACCTTCATCGTCCGTGACTCTAACAATTCAAATTAATATAAAAAAACGGTGTGCCTCTTTAACAAAATAACATTCCCACGACAGCCGGTTCTATGTACCGGAATGACTCGGGTTTTACCCGACCAACAACCCTTGGTTTCGGCGATCTAACCCCGTTTAGGTGGGCGAAATCCATCAAACGTTGCTCGATCCTAGGGCTACACCTTCTCCGCACGTTTCTGCTCAGGGCTGGCAGAGAGTCGAACCCAGGGCCAGAAATCTACACCTGCTGCGTATGCCAGAGACGACTGCATACAAACTCCACCTCGGTCAGGTGCAATTCCTCTGACGGGTGGAGTCACCTCCGTAACTGCTCGGCCCTGCGTACGCACCGGCAATGGACCACGTCGTTCGTGGCCCCATGCTGTGCGAACCGGACCGCCTCCACGGGAAACCACCACCCGCCTGGGCAGCACACAATCAACACACCCACACCCCAACACAACACAACAATAGACACACAAACAAACACAATAGCACCCACAAACCGCCGCCGGCAACTCCTAGTCCCTCCGACAATCTGCTCTGTTTGTCAGTCCAGAATATACCGTAACATGACATCAGTCAAGTGCAACTCTTGCCTCGGCTGGTGCCACTTTAGGACGTGCTCAGGACTTCGCAACACACGAGATTGGACGAGTGACTATGTGGGCCCCTGCTGTGCTGCCCCGTCGCATCCCTTCACCACCACAAGGCAGCACCCCCTTTTGCAGCACGTACGGCAGGGGGGCCGGCAGGCAACACAACTCTTTAACACCACACATCACAATCGGTCTCCCAAGGCACACAAAGGTGCTACAATTAACTGTAACGGACTCCAGAGCAAGATCGAGGAGATAACTGTCTTTATGGGAAGGCATGGAATATTAATAGCTGCGGCCCAAGAGACGAAGTTGCGCGGCAATTCAACCCTGTTGAATTGCGCTGTATACAACGTGCACCGTCGAGATCGCGAGCGAGGTAATGGTGGAGGTTTAGCGTTCATCACGCACCACACTATGCAGTATCGTCTCATTGAAGCAGAAATCGACCACAGGGATACCATTCTGGAATGTCAGGGTATTGCTATCCGGTCAGGCGATGTTGAGCTCGAAATATTTAACGTATACATACCCCCTGTCA